TCAATTATTTTCTACAGCTATGGTCATTTATTTTAAGCTCTGCTCATTTTTATTATCATGTTTTTGATATTTTCAGATATTTTCAATTATTTTCTACAGCTATGGTCATTTATTTTAAGCTCTGCTCATTTTTATTATCATGTTTTTGATATTTTCAGATATTTTCTACATTGTTACAGTATGTTTGTTTATATTAAGCTGCGTTCATTTTTATTATCACAAACATAATTCAATAGTCTCAGACCACCTTCAAAAGGATGGCAGGAATTCACAGCAGGATTGTATCAATTTTCCACAGGTGAAAGGCAGAGCTTTTTACTATTCACAGCGTGACAGATCACAAAACCCCAGGGAACAGCAGCCACACACCTGCATGGAGGAAGAAGAAGAAGAAAAAAACAGAGAGAAAGAGAGCGTAAAATACAGGAACAAGCATCTAAACATGGGCATGGACTTTTTTCAAAGGTGGAAAACAAATGAAGCACAGCAGAAATCGAAGTGTACAGACACACGCAGGATTACAAACACACTGGGATTACAGAGAAGCACACAAGCCCCTCCCCTCCCCCCCAAAAAAACACACGTCACAGGATTACGCCAGACTTCCCACATCCAGCCAGAACGGTTTTCTAGGCAAAGCTGAGGGCAGAAGCAGAAACACTGACATCATGCCATGGACTATTGCCATCTCTACACTTCTGATGCTACTGCATGTGCAAATCACACACAGCTACGCTTCACACACACTTGCCGCCTCAGGAGGAATGCAAATGCAAGATTTAGTTTGTACATTCATCTGAAATGCACTAGCACAATTTGCACAAAGGATTTAGCTAAAAACAAACTGCAATGGGGTGTAAATCTTTGAAAAGGACAAATATATATTTGGTTTATTGACTAATATTTAAAGCATTACTGACCAACAATGTTCTTCTCCTACTCCTTGTCTTGAGAATACTTCAGATTTAAAATATATTGTAAGTATAAGACCTTTTTGAGTTTTATTGTTTAATAATGTTTTTTTTTTTTTTTTTTTTTGGTGCTTTAGAAGTAGCTTTGGAAGGATTTAGAACACTTAACAGGTAACTCAAACCGTTTGAGGAAACAGATTGCAACAAACCATTTAAGTTTAAAAACTAATGAGTTCTGTGAACTTAATCCATTTGAGTAAATGTAGCAATCTGAGCACAGTAAAACCCAATAAATGAAGAGAACTCAAACCAACTGAGTACTGTAAAACCCAATAAGTTAAGGCAGCTCAAATGGTGTGAGGAAACCGATAGCTACAAGTCATTTGAGTTAAAAAAAAACATATCTATATGAGTACTGGGAAATTCCTTCATTTAAATTGAAGTAATGAGGTATTTAATTAACTCATTACCTTCAACACTGAGTTCAAAACTCTTTTCAAATGAGTAGAATGAACTTTCAGTCAATTTTGAGTAACTGCACTCATTTCAATTGATAAAGTTGACTGTTGGGTTTTACAGTGAAGTATTAAATAATACCCCAGAAAAAATATTTGAATTATTATTTGATTTACAGTTTCTGTCATGCACATTTTTACTTTTAAATGAGAGATTTAGATGTATTAAATAATTTTCTAGAAAAGAATATTACCATTATTAGCTTTAGCTTTAATTAATTTTGCTCATGCTTTAGCTTTAGTAATATTTAAACAAGAGTTTATAAATTATAACTACATAAATTATAATACACAATTTTGCAGTTTTTATTTATTTATTTATTGTGGGAAATATGCATATAGTTTTATATGCTATCATGTTTCTATTCATTTACCTTTCCTGTTTATATTTCGTTTCAGTTTTAGCTTTAGCAACCAGGGATTTCCAGATGCGTTCAAATGAGTGGGAATCGGGTCCGATCACGTGGTTTCAGATTCGATCGGAATCGGACGTTACCTTCCGATCAGGACTTGAATATATATGTATATATACACTGCAAAACAGTGTTAAGTTAATTCAAACCATTTGAGGAAACCGATTGCAACAAACCATTTAAGTTCAAAAACTAATCCTAATGAGTACTGTGAACTTAATCCATTTGAGTAAATGAAGCAATTTGCGCACATTAAAACTCAATAAATGAAGAGAACTCAAACCAACGGAGTACTGTAAAACCCAATAAGTTAAGACAACCCAAACCATTTTAGGATAAAAACTATATCTATAGATATAGATAAAGTAATGAGGTATGTAATGAACTTATTACCTTCAACATTGAGTTTAAAATTCTTTACAAATGAGTATATATATATATATATATATATATATATATATATATATATATATATATATATATATATATATATATACATACATACATTCTCATTATTTTGAACACATCTATATTTATGCGGTGGCACAGAGTTAGACCTCTTTCTTGACTTCACACAGGAACAGCAACGAGTGCGGCATGACATTACTTTGTTGCAAAGATGATATTGCTTAAATGTCGGCAAAGTAGAACACAGAAGCAGCTTGAAGCGGAAACTGTGAGTATGGCTGCGGTCTGAAGGTATACTAAAGTTGATGATGAGAACATTGCCATAGCAAACTGTAAAATATGTAAACTTTAAGGTTTTTGAGTTGAGGTGCTATTTGTTATATTAGATGTTTTATTATATATATATTTACAGTTTTTTTTAAAGTTATTTATTACTCAATTGTTCGAGCTACCTCACAGAAGTGCTCTGTTTGTTAAAAGAGTTGTTGAATGTTAAAATAAGGTGAATAAAATAAAAAACAAGGAATATCCTGCATCTGTTTCTTCGCTAATGACCTAGACTCAGGGGTAAAAAACCCTGATCTGTACATCCCTATTAACAACACTTCGCTTTGTTCAGTTTTAGTAATCTCAATACTTTAAAAAATATATAAGTACAACTTATTTCCATTTTTACTCTATTTCAACTTTTACTATTCACTTCAAATGCAGTGCAATATTTTCTAAAGCACATAACTGAAGATTATTTAGAGAGAGTTTGACACAGGCCAGTGGTTTATTTAAAGGGCCAATTAACCCACTTAGTGGGGGGTCCGACCCTACAAGGACATTAAAAAATAGAGCAGAGTTTTTTTTTCCCCTTTTGGACATACAGAAGTAAACCCTCTTAGAAACAATATTTTCTTTTTGTAATTGTGGAAAACTTTATAAACCATTAAATCAAATGGTGGCATAGTTGATTAGAATCTCCTTTTTTTCCAAAGCCTTCAAAAAGCTCCATGTCCCAGATCTAAGTTGGGGGAGAAAAAGTCAGACTGACCCGGCAGAGCGAAGTGGAGTTGAAAAAGTAGGTAGGCTGGAAGAGCCAATGGCCCAGTCTGACAATTCACTTCAGCAATCAGGTCAAAGACAAACCACAGCGGACACACACATGCATGCATGCACACACATATACACAAGTCGAACGTTGTGAGAACTGCGTGAGGGAAATGGGGGTCTTCATATATGCATATTCTTTTTGCCATGATCACAAACAGAAGTTACATTGAAGTTTCCATGAAAATTAAACCACAGAAACATCATGCTGTGTGCACACTTCCATATACATTGGTATTAGGGGATAACATGACAAAACATGACTGCCACTGCATTATTATAATTTTATTGTAGATTTACATTTATAAACACTACACTGCCAATAGGTTTAAGACATCTGCCTTTGTGCACTTCATGACATCCCAATCCTAATCTGCAGGGTTTCATATTTGACCCACCTTTTGCAGATATAAAAGCATAGACTCCTCCACAAGTTTAACAAGAGTGTTTAAGGCTATTTTTGACCATTCTTCTAGTAGTGCATTTGTGTGATGTTGGACAAGAAGGCCGGGCTTGCAGTGTTAGCTCTAATTCATACTAAAGCTGATCAGTTGGGTTGAGGTCAGGACTCTGTTTTTTGGACCTTGCTTTGTGCACTGAAGTTGAAACATCGCAGGCAGCAAAGAATTCTAGCCCGGGTTTGGCATAGAGCTGGTACAGCAGGCATTCATCCTGCAACTGGCATTCAGCATGTGGGCCAAACATGGCCCGGGATTGGCAGAGGTGCCACCATCTTTAAGGTGGCATATAAGATTTAGGGCAGATGTAAAATGCAGTATTTGGGTCAGAAGACTGATAAGTGTGATTGGTCACAGGTCTCCACTGTTCTAGAGTCAGTGGTGGTCTGCTTTACACCACTGCTTCCCACGCTTTGCATTGCCCTTGGTGATGAGCCTTAAATGCAGCTTTTCAGCAATGGAAACCTATTCTATAAAGCTCTCTATACTGATCTAGAGCTAGATCTGAAGACCATGTGATGTTGGAGGTCTGTAGATATTGATTCTGCAGAATGTTGGGGACTTCTGTGCACTTTGACCCTCAGTGTGTGGCTATTGTTTCCAATTGCTTCCATATTTATAATATGACTAATAGTTTACTGTGGATTATTTAGTAGTAATATTTAGCTCATTAGAGCGGGCCATTGTTTCACAGGTGTTTGTAGAGGTAGTGTTCATGATTTTATGCACTACTGGCCATGGAATGGATTTGAAGACCTAGATTCAAGGATTAGGAGGGGTGTTGCAAAACGTTCGGCAAAATAGTGTGTATATATATATATATATATATATATATATATATATAATTCATGCTAATGGTTGCAAATAAGAATTTGTGGTTCACAAGACAAGCCTGAAAATTACCCTGCATATGTTTAGCAGGCTACTGGTTTCAGTGCTGCTATTCTTCACTAAAATCGAAACGTTAACTCACTGCTTTCAGTAAGGGAACTAATTATAAAGAACTAAATAGAAATATAATTTATGTAATTATAATATAAATAATATTCAACATAGGCTCATTCTGAAAACGTGGCCCCATATACATTTCTGGAGATCGCAAATTTACCTGAAAACAGTATGGCTGCATTTTGTCTTTAAAGCGAATGCTATGGGGCAGTATGACATTTCTTTTTACACTTATACCAACTGACCGTTTACCTTCATTTGGACGGCTTTTCCAATGTAACCAGTTTGTCCAGTTGGCTTGCCATGTATGATGGCGGACTTGAGGTGCAGAGAAGAGTTGACCACAAGACAGGCTTCGAGTCCGGTGAAGAACAGTTCTAGAAAGCTGGTAAGACAAAAGCAAAAAATAAAATAAACAAGTAAATGACAGTGTGAGAATGTGGTGAAAATGAAAATGTGGTAAACAAATTAGGCTTTTCTTTTGTTTGGATTGCTTTTTAAAACTGTCGGTTGGGTTTAGGAAAGGGGGTGGGCGGTCAGTCGGTGCTTTCGAAAACACTATTGGTTGGGTTTAGGGAAAGGCGAGGGTGGTGTTATTAGTCAGTCAGTAGACAGTAAACTGTGGTCTCTGGTGGATTTACGTGACAACAGCAAGTGCGAATGGCACTCACGAGAGAAATTTGAGATCTCAAATGCGTACACAGCGGCCTCTGGTGGATGCGCGAAAACAAAAACTGGAAAAATGTAGCTCCTGAGACGAATTTTGCGATCTCCAGAAATGTATATAGGCGTTTGTTTTCAGAATAAGCCTGGGTTGGTAATATTTACATGTCATATTGTATAATGACATTTGATTAAAGAACTATTTAATTGTTGTCTGTCTATGATTTATGGTAAGTGCACAATACAAAAAGTATTTGTATTTCTCATAGTTGATAAGTGATTATGTTCCCAAAAGTACTGTTTTATTCTTTCTCTCCAAAGTTAGCTCATTTCAAATTTGGATACAGTTTTGCACCCAAAAATATGATGAAGTAGACACACTCACATACACAGTCACATCTCTCTGCTTTGACTGGCAGGCAGCCTCTAAATAATGTGCCCCCTCTGCATGATGGAGAGATTGTGGTGTCATTTCTTCCAGAGTGAGAGAAGAAATTTACCCATCAGGCTGCGCACAGTTTCATACAGGAACACAACACACACGACTCACCCGGCCTAAAAATAGCCGGAAACTTCAGGCGCAACGCACAACCTCCACTCAGCACAGCAGGACTAAAATCAGCCCGGTGGACGAATTCAATCACCACTCTAATGATATGCATGGAAATTCAGTCCGCCAGGCCGACTTTGAATAAACTCCTCTAACAAAACCGTTCCTGACCCAAGAGTCTGCTATTAGCGATTAGCGAAATTGAGAGATCGAAGGAAGCGCCTCAAAGCAAGTAACATCATGACCAGCAGCACTGGCAACGGGTGTGGAAATGACATCACCACTAGTCGATCTGCCACCAGGTATCATGACGATTGTGGTTGAACAAGTGTTTGTGCTTTTGCGTGGCATTGTGCCCGTGTAGACTGTGGCCTATATTGAGACTGGCTTGGTTGAGTGGAGGCCAAGACCACAGCCATCCCACAGTGAAATGGAACTTAACACTAGTATAGTAAAAACAACATTTATATACAAACGGCATCCCAAAGTAGCTGTCTGCCACACCTGCCATTGGTGAGGGACCATTTGGAAATTTATATTACAAAATAAACAAGTGCTAATGGAATTATTTCATGACAGATCAACCATAGTTACTGCCTGACTCTACATACTTCATCCTACTGTACACTATATACACTCCTTATGTAAAAAAGGTAACGATTGAATGATATCTATCTGAAATTAAATATGTAGGCTAATGGATGTCTTCATGGGAGTGTGTACAACGATGATTCCTTACTTCACTAAAGTAAAGGAGTAGAGTATAAGAGAAAGTAAAGAGGCCAAATAGAGGAGGCTCATTCTTTATCCTCGCGCTGCAGATAGTGTGTTTAACTGCTTTCTCGCTAGTGAAGTGTTCAGTTTTTTCACTTACAAAGTCCGCCATGTAAATAGCAAATGCACCATGGAGCGACGCAACTGACTCTTTAAGGGAATTGCAGATGAGACTCTGATTAGTTTAATGCACGTTATACTCAAAACACACCCATAACTTATTAGGAGAATAAGCACAACCCTGTTAGATTACACGCCAGGGTGCAGAGCATATTTTTTGTCCTTAAAATAAAAGTGGATTCGGATATGACCTTAATGCTTTTGCACCATGCGCTTTAGACTTTGTGCCTTGATCATTAAAATAGAGCCCTTAATGCTTTGTTAGAGTCATTATACGGCATGCATGTTTTACGAAGTAAAATTTAAAACTTAAGATCTTTTTTTTTAAATGTAAAATGTATGTAAATTAAGTGAAATTAATCATTTGGATCATAATACATCAAGAAGTTCTCTAAATACACGTTTAACAACTTTGTATTAATATCCATTTGTAAGGTATTGTACTGTACCTTTTGATCACACTGCAAAAATGTGTTTTTAATGTTGGGTTAAATCAAGAAATATTCAATTGGGAAGCAAAATTTATAGGATAAGAAGCCTTGTCCTCTGAGAAATAAATGAAAATTTAGTAAATTAAGAAACTTAGACTAAAAGAAGAACAAATACAACAGTGGGTTAAAAACAAACAAACTAGAAAGTACCTTTCAAACCCCAGTAACACATATTTGTTCTTGTTTTAAGTAAACTCACTTAAATATGTTCATATATTTCTCAGAGCAAAACTTAATTTATCCGTTTTTAATCTTTAGTAAATTAAATTTGATTAAATGCTGTTTAAGTACATTTCAAATGGAAAACAAAAACACTTACTAAGATATGCTCATTTCTGTCATGAACACTCTTGGGATTTAGTTTGGTGATGGATATTTATATGGCAATGTTGATGTATTTGGTCTTGGAGGTATAGATCTGCAACACTGCTGCTGCTGCTTTGATAATTATGGCAGAGCAAGTCCCGAGACCTGCTACGGCCTGTATATACACAGAAATGTCATCTGAGAAAGTAAATTTCTGCTGCTGCAAACATGATATATGTAACCCCCGTAGCAGATCTAACACAGGTGGAGCTGGGGTGGAGGAGGGTCTCAAAAAATGGGCTGCAGCTTAACAGTGTAAGACAATGCGGAGCATTTAAAACTGATGAGGAGCAAGCTCATTGGCTGCCGAAGTGGCAGCAACCAATCTCCTGCGCCATGTAGTTAATGACGGAGGAGCAGATAATATCAGCCTGCGCGCGCATAGGGTTTCGTGGCAGAATTTTCATTTCTTTCCCAGCACATGCAGCAGTTAATCCCATGACTTTATTCATTCATTCAACATTTTAATGGCCTTAAATTGTGTGAATTAAGACTTAAGAGACCCTTCATTACAAAATTAGCCAGTTGCACTATCGTTCAGCAAGTAGACCTTTTGCACATCCAAGAATCGCTCAATCTATGATATTGACGAATCCTAAAGGTGTGAACACAGACAGTGTCTCTCTTCCCTTCCTTCTCATCTCCTCCTCCAATATCCCGTGGGATCAGCCGACCATTTAAAATTGAATTCCACATCATCCCAAGAAGCGTCTTCTGTCCTCGGTGACAGATGCGGATGCTTTATTCTAATTGGCACCAAAGGCTGAATTTACTTAGTGAGCATGATCCGACTGCCGTCTCAGCTAATGATTATAATAGCACGCAGACACTTTGGGACTATAGCTTTCTGAATCTCTCTCCATCCTTCTCTCTCTCCCTCACAAACACATAATCCCACACTCTACCCCCTGTAGGCCAAGCTAACTCTCACATTTATAGCAGAATTGAAATCGTTTAAGCTATGGTCCAGGTTGCTGATATAAGCTCTAACAGCGTAACGGCCTCTATTACCAGCGGGAGAATTTGCAAGACATGACATGCTTTTTTATGTGCTTAAGACGTGACCCACACACATACCCAGTGCATATATATGTAAATGCGTTTGAGTTTGACACCCCGAGCACATAAACATGCCACGTCTTGTAAATATAGTCTCAATTTACTGCATCAAACCGAAATAACTATGTATATATTATGTCATTATATGGCAAATGCGTATGCCCTAATTTTGAATACTAAATGTGAAGATTCTGTCATCGTCACTCACAGTTATGCATGTTAAAATTTATGGACGAGTTATTTATTGCAGAATGATCAAGCTGTCGTTTTTTTTTTATTCGGTAAATGCTCTTTTTTTTGGGGCGGGGGGGGGGGGGGTACTGTTAAGTTGATGGATGACATTGAAAATGTTACAATATATAATAAAATAATTTAAAGCAACACCATTTGCAAGTAAAAAAAGAAAAAACACGATGCATTTCAGCCATTCATTTACACTCCAAGAGCTATTTAGGGGGTGTAAAACTAGGTTTCAATGTGATAAAACTTGTCAAAACATGTATGTCTACTGTTATGATCACCAGTAATCAAGCAGCTGCACATCACTTTTAAACAAACAGTTCACTATTGATTTACAAATCTCCCAGTATATGGACCACAAGTTCCAGTCATGCACAGCTCACACACACCTGTTCCTTATTGCGTTAAATTCACACACTCATGGCTGGGAGCTGCTCATGAACTGATTACATGGACTATACTGCATACACAGCATACACGCACATCTCTTTGCTGAGTCTTTTGTAATGTGAATGGGACGCTGGACAACGGAGGTGAAGATACAAAATGAAGGTTTATTAAGAATAGTCAGGCAAGCAACGGTCAACACAGGGCCAAACAGATATAAACAGGCAAATCCAGAATCGTGGTCATAAAACAGGTGGATGTTCAAAAGGCAGCAAGCAAGCCACATAATACAAACAAACAAAGCAAGGTTTAAACAAGGGAGGCAAGGCAAGGAAAGTAATATACACAATCAGTATAACAAGATGTGTGTGCGAGCTGTTTAAATAGTCCTTGAAATCAGTTCACAAGCAGCTTCAGCTGTGTCTGTATGTGTCATCACTGGAACTCAGAACAGGTGTGTGTGAGCGGTGCATGACTGGAACTTGTAGTTCAAAATGGCGAATTTGTAGTTTCGGTTGCGAAGTGTGTGTTTACCAGCGATCTGCACAGGCTGAATCGCTGGTGATCGTGACATTTACATTGTTAATCTACCCTAATATCCTAAAATGCTTAAAATCAAGAAATGTCTCTAGCGTCTTGTGAGTCTACAGTGAGTTATCTTCAAGTTTATTCATGTTTAGTTGCCATTTGAAAGACAGCAGGACTTTAATATGTAAGTTTAAGCAGATC